GAAAATTGCATCTCATTTTAGTTAAGGGCATCTCTCATGGTTTTGATAAAACCATAATTGTGTGTGACATAGCACTTTATGAGTTATTAACCTTATGCAACTTATAAGTGATTGTGAACTCAATCCCTTTGCTTTTCTTGGAATCTGGGAAGGTATTTAAAAATCCTTTTCTCTGTGTGTGTGTGTGTGTGTGTGTGTGTGTGTAAGTAAACACAGAGCAGTCTGCCTGAAATGACAAGCCAGTTGGTAACAGCTTATCTGTAGCTGCTTGTGAGGAGGTTGTACACCCTGGCATTCCTACTCATGTGACGAACAGATTTCCCTAGGCAAACGGAAACGGTCCACATTTTTAAGTTGCTTGCCTGTTTGGGGGCCTTCACCTTATTCAGCCTTTTTTTTTTTGTGGGCCAGCAGGATCTCATGCGCAGATGATCTCTGACAGTGTCAACAGGAAATGGACGGTGGAGGTTGGGCTGATTGTCCGTATTTCTCCACCACTGGTAGGCAGAGTACAACTTGGGAGATGCAGCTGAACAAGCCAAAAGAAAGATGACTTCTTCTGGCCCTCTTTAGTGTCTGTGGAATGCAGAGTCTCAAATGATACCAGGTGGACCAGCCTAGTTAATACACACGGTTCTGTAATTTGATATGTGACTAGTGAACAAGAGTAGCAGAAAGGGAAAATATCTTATAGCTAGTATCCGGGGTAAAATGTGCAGTTTTCAAGCACATGAAATCTTGCCTGCATGATCTGTTGTGCCATTTCTTGTATTATTGTAATTTTCTAGATGGAGAACAACATTGATTTCCTGTTGTTGTGCACCAGAAGAAATGATTGCCTAACCTCATTGTACCCCGACTTACTCACGTCAACTGAAATTACTAAATTTAGAAAGACATTAGGAGTATTATGCTGTACTTAGAGAATGTCAATGATCTCTACCGTAAATTTGTATTTTTGTTATAATACGATTAAGACATATGTTAAGGAGTCATCAGAAAGTACAAAGAATAACACAAAAACCACCATGTAGCCAGTCACCGTTTTGGCAAATCTTAACATTTTGCCACGTTTGCTTTCGATATATTTTTAAAAGAAACTGACTAATGCAAACCTGCAGTGCACTTTCACTACATACACGATACATAGTATTTTGTGTGTTTTGAAATGTTTTTTATTTTTTCAATTGTTGTTCAAGTACAGGTGTCTCCATTTCCCCACCACCACCACGCTCCCCGGCCCCACCCACCCCGCCTGCCACCCTCAGACCTACCCCTTTGGCTTTGTCCCTGTGTCCTTTATACATGTTCTTCCCCTCTGGTCACTGTCAATTTGTTCTTATTTCAATGTCTCTGGTTACATTTTGCTTGCTTGTTTGTTTTGTTGATCAGGTTCCACTTATAGGTGAGACCATATGGTATTTTTCTTTCACTGCCTGGCTTATGAAACTTTTTATAAATTATATTACTCTGGACCAGGGACTTTTTATAAATTATGTTACTCTGGACACTGGTGGGCCGCAAGAATTTTTAAAACATGCATACCTGACTATTTCGTCAGGGGCACTGGCCTCTTTTCCCTTAGATTGTCAAATAAAAAAAATGCCAACAGCCAACATAACAATAGCTGCCTGGTGTGAACGAATCAAAGTTATGCCTGTTTTTTGGTCGGAATTTTTGTGATTAGTATATGGGTGCCATGATACGAAAAGGTTGAAAATCACTGCTTTGGACTTGTTATTCCCCAGCTTGTTATTATCATTCAATTATGATTTTGCCGTTTATCCATGTTGATAGATGGGGCAGTAATTTATTTATTGAAATTGCTCACAGCATTTCATTATAGAATGTGAGAGGTTGAATCAACTGTACAGTTAGGGGGTTCGGCCGCCACTAAACTGCCCACACTTCTGACACCAGCTGAAAGCTTGGGGGGTTCCCTAAGCACTGTCAGTTTTGATGGTTCACTAGAAGGATTCCCAGGCCTCACTAAAAGCTCTTATGGCTACAGTTATACTTTATTACAGGCACTGGGGATTGGCTGAAATCAGTTGTGGGAAGAAGTGCATTGGTTGGAGTATGGCAGGGGGTGGTGGTTCTAGAAGCGGAGCTTCCAGCTGTTCTCTCTCCATGGAATCAGGACAGTGTCACCCCTCTGGCATCAGTGCGGCCCAGTATGCACAAAGCATGGCCAACCAGGGAAGTTCATGAGCTTCAGTGCCCAGAGTTTGGAGCGGAGCTCCATCACTCAGGCATGACCGATGGCCCAAGGGGCTGGCTGATCGCAGTCTGCAGAGATGTCACGACCCACAGCCTCCAGCCTCAGCCACACATTGGCTTGTCTGGCATGGCTAGCGCCCGCCCTAAGACTGTCTGGTGAGGTCACCTTGTTGGACAGTCTGGTGACCCAAGGCACTCATTTCAGGATTGGCAATTGCAGGACTTAGAGAGCACCTCCCCAAATCTGAGGAGAAAGGACAGACCTCTTTTTGGGCCAGCTTAAATTCTTTCTTACGCATATGACTATAGCCCATTTTATTTTGTCTGTTCTTCCTTCGATGGATATTTGGGTCACGTGTGAGATATTGGGTCACATGATATTTAATAAATGCTCATATAATTCTTATTGTGTGTCGGGTACTGTTTATCTTCTTTTCAAATATTAACTCATTTAATCCCCAGAAGAATCCTTTATGAGGTAAATTCTTCTCTTCCTTCTCTTCTCTTCTTTATGAGGTAATTATTCTCTTCCTACCCATAAACAAATAGGATACAGAGACACTGAGTACCGTGTTCAGCGACACACAGCCAGTAGATGGAATAGCTCCGATATGAACTCCGGTAGTCAGAATCTTTCCTCATAAGCTGTGTGCTATGCTGTCTAAAAACAATGCACCAACAAATATTTTTCTGTCGTCTTCTTGTATATATGCACAGTAGGTTCTGAATATCATAACAGTAGAATGGGTGCATTGCAGACGCGTGCATCTTCAACTTTATTTGATACTGCCAAATTGTTATTCAAACTGATATAAAATATTTGCACATACATACCTTGCTTGCTCTGTGGCTTATCACTGCTTTTGTTTCCTAGAAGTTCATAATTTAAACTACTCCATTTGCTCTATTTTTTAAAGATTTTAATTTCTGCATCTTCTTTATGAACTATTTCTTTCCCTGAGCCCCCAAATATATCCTCCTATATTTTATTTTGGAAGTTTTACCTTGAGCCCTGGCTGGCGTAGCTCAGTGGATTGAGCGCGGGCTGCGAACCAAAGTGTCGCAGGTTCGATTCCCAGTCAGGGCACATGCCTGGGTTGCAGGCCATGACCCCCAGCAACCGCACATTGATGTCTCTCTCTTCTCTCTCTCTCTCTCTCTCTCTGTATCTCCCTCCCTTCCCTCTCTAGAAATAAATGAATAAAATCTTTAAAAAAAATTCTTTGTTAAAAAAAAGAAGAAGTTTTACCTTTTGTATCTATGCCCTTCATCTACCTGGAATCGATTCTGAATATGGTGTAAAGCAGGGATATAATTATTTTTTCAGTATTGTCTCAAAACCATTTTTTTAGGGGTCCATTTTTTTCCCCTGCTGGCTCTAGGGGAAAATCTGGTTCTTGCCTTTTCCAGCTCTTAATGGCCACTTTTCATGGTATTTTACTGGTCGCAGTTACTTGGGTCATGTCGGAATGTAATTTCAAACCCTCAGCCTTTGTGAGGGCAAATTACTGATTTCAAACCCTCAGCCTTTGTGAGGGCAAATTACTGATTATACATACAGAAGGCATAGTCTTCTTCCACCCAGCGATTTAGAGAAAACAGGGTTTTTTTTGTTTGTTTCTCCCTCTTGTAATAAGTGACTTTTTTCTCTACATCACCTTTTCACTGTGTTGTAGCCCTTTAAGGATCAAGACATGGATGAGAGTATCTATAATTTCTTTCCTGTTTCCTGCTTTGTGTAGAACCTGAGGCCTCCCCTTCCCCTGGGTGGGCATTAAAACCCAAGCCCTTAGATTCATGAGACAGGCTAATTCCTTAGAGCTTCTGCAGCCGAAGTCATATGCTTGCTGCTCCAGTTTCAGCTCTGTTTAGTTTTTGCTTACTGTTATGGTAAGCACAATCTCTAGGGGCCCCCCGGAGTTTCCCCTGCTTGTTTCCTCCTTCACATGTGTGTGTGTGCTCACTTCTTTTAGATGGGGGGGCTCTCACACATCACATCTTTTTTTTAAAGAATTTATTTATTTTTTAGGGAAGGGAGGGAGAAAGGGGGGGGAGAGAGGGGCGGGGGAGAGAGAGAGAGAGAGGAAGAGAGAGAGAGGGAGAGAGAGAGAAACATCAATGTGCGGTTGCTGGGGGTCATGGCCTGCAACCCAGGCTTGTGCCCTGACTGGGAATCGAACCTGCGACACTTTGGTTCGCAGCCCGCGCTCAATCCACTGAGCTACGCCAGCCAGGGCCACACATCACATCTTTTTTAAAAAAGATTTTATTTATTTATTTTTAGAGAGGGGAAGGGAGGAAGAGAGGGAGCAAAAACATCAATGTGCAGTTGCCTCTCGCACACCCCCTACTGAGGACCTGGCCCGCAACCCAGACATATGCCCTGACTGGGAATTGAACAGGTAACCCTTTGGTTCACAGGCAGGCACTCAGCCCACTGAGCCACACCAGCCAGGGCACATACATCACCTCTTGGTGTTATTTGTACCCTGTGTATCTTAGTCAGTCAGGAGCTGGTTCAGAGGGGGTATAGCTGACTTTTCCTTAGGGTCACGATTCTATGCTTCCACATAGTGTTATTAGCAGTAGGACTTCTGATGTGTCAAAATCTTACCAGTCTGACCTTTGAATCATTAATACCATGGCAGAGAAAATCATACATTGTCAAAGTCCTTTTTCTGTGAGATCAATTATTAAGTGAAAGATACTTAAAAGAAAATAATTTGACCTTAATTTTCGACTCAAGAATCCTAATTCTCATTTTCTTATTGTCTTCCTAGGATGTGTGCTGTATTTGGCGGAATCTATTGTCTTCGCCATTCAGTGCGGTGCCTCGTTGTGGACAAAGAATCCAGAAAGTAAGGATGATATAAGTTACCTTCCTATATTTACACCCCAAGCGCAGGTGAAAAATGCTAAAGTCAATTTTTAAAAAATGATTCTTCAAAGATCCTCCTTGGTGTTAATAACATATCAACCTTGATTAAAAGTAATTTGTGTTTAGATCCTCCAGAACAAGGAAAGTGAGTTCAGAATATAGAAACTAAATTAATTTCCCTGCGATATGACTATAGCTGCTGACCATCCAAGCATGGAAGACAGATCATTCCAGCTGCCGGGGGTGGGTGATGAGTGATTTTAGTTTTCCTTGTGGCCTTACCTCCTCTAATTGATTTTCATCAGACGACAACAAAGCCCTCTGTTATTGCATTTTTAAAAATGGAGCTCACCTAAAGACTCATCAGATTAATCTCTGCTGATAATGCATGTCACTCCAAGAGAAAAGATTTTAATGAGTTTTTAGGTAGATTGTTGTCATAAACTATGCTGCCCTGTTATGTGAGGATAAATTCTTTTACGGCCATACCAGGCCTGCGGGCTGCTTTAGGATTGAAGTTAGAATGCCCCTGCTTTTTTTAAAGGTGACCATCATCTATTTATCTGTGTTTTTTTTATATTTAAATTATATTTTGGGGGGTTATTATTTAGTGACTAAGATATACTCGTGTCTGAATTACACTAAGTTGTCTTTGATTATTATGTTTTACCTTAAAACTTAAATGGCTCAATTGGATCAAATTTTAAGATCTGCTGAAATTTTCCTTTTTGTTATGAGTTCATAAGCATCTACTGACCTCTACCTATTATATGACTTCTTTAGGGTATGTAAAGACATTGTTATTCATTCCCAATTTGAGTGCCTTGTATGTCTTTCTCTTGCCGGATTGCTCTAGGATCCCCAGTACTGTGTTGAGTAACAGTGGCGAGAGTGGAGATCCTTGATTGTATTTTCTTTAGGACGTTTGTATCTCTATCCAATAATCAGAGATACTGGTTTGTAGGTGTGTGTGTGTGTGTGTGTGTGTGTGTGTGTGTGTGTGTGTGTGTTTGCGCATGCGCACTGTCCTTGCCAGGTTTTGTATCAGGGATATATTGGCCTCATAAAATGAGTTAGGAAGTAATGCCACTTCATTAAAATTTTTAGAGGAGTTTGAGAAGGACAGGTATCATATCTCCCTTCAGTGTTTGCTAGAATTGACTAGCAGAGCCATCTGGTCCTAGACTTTCCCTTTTGGGGAGATTTTTGATGATTGCTTCCCTTTCCTCTCTTCGATTGGTCTGTTTAGGTTTTCTATTTCTTTGTGATTCAGTCTAGGAAGGTTTTATAGGTTTTTTCCATTTTTTCTAGGTTATTTGGTGGCATATGGTTCTTCATAGTATACTAGCATGAGCCTTCATAATTCTGTGATGTCTGCAGGAACTTCTCCTTTTTAATTTCTGATTTCGTTCATATGAGTTTGTTCTCCTTTTTCCTTAGTTTAGCCAGGGGTTTGTCAGTTTTGTTAACCTCTTCAAAAAAACAGCTCTTTGTTGTATTAATTTTTTGTATAGTTTTTTTGTTGTGTATTTCAGTCAATTCTGCTCAAGTTTATGATTTTTTTTTCTTCTGCTTACTTTGGGTTGCTTTTGTTCTTTTTCTATTTCTTTAAGATGCAAATGTTAGGTTGTTTACTTGAAATTTTTCTTTTTTCTTGAACTAGGACCACTACTGCTTTCAGTGCATCCCAGAAGTTTTGATGTGCCGTATTATCATTCTCATTGGTCTCTGTATATCTTTTGATCTCACCTTTTATTTTTTCCTTGATCCAGTCATTTTTTTTTCATAGCATGTTGTTAAATTGCCACATATTGTTTTTATTTTTTTAATTCCTTTTTGCAGTTGATTTCTAATTTTGAAGCATTGTGGTAGACAATAAGCGTGGTATGATTTCAGTCTTCTTCAATCTGTTGAGACTAGTTTTGTGACCCAACATGTGGTCTGTCCTTGAGTGTTCCATGTGCACTGGAGACGAACGTATAAGCTAATGTTCTGGGATGAAAGCTCTGTAAATGTCCGTTATGTTCATTTGGCCTAATGTGTGGTTTAAGGCTGATATTTCACGAATCTTTATATAGAAAACCCTAAAGACACCACCAAAAAACTATTAGAAACAATAAACAAATATAGTAAAATTGTAGGATCAAAAAATTAATGTACAAAATTCCACTGCATTGCTATATACTAACAGTGAAATTTCAGAAAAAGAAATTAAATAAATAACTCCTTTTACAATTGCAACAAAGAGAAGAAAATACCTAGGAATAAACCTAACCAAGAATGTGAAGGACCAATAATACTGAAAACTACAGAGCATTATTAAAGGAGTTGAAAATGGCACAATGATGTTGAAAGATATTCTGTGTTCATGGATTGAAAGAATCAACATAGCTAAAATATCCATTTACCCAAAGCAGTAAACAGATTTAATGTAATCCCCATCAAAGTGCCAATGACATTTTTTAAAGAAATAGAAAAAACTTATCACATTTGTTTGGAACCACAAAAGGCCCTGAATAGCCAAAGCAGTTCTCAGGAGAAATAACCAAACCAGAGGTATCACATGCTCTGACTTTAAATTATACAACAGAGCAACAATAATCAAAACAGCATGGTGTTGGCAGAAAAACAGACATGCACACTAATGGAACAGAATTGAGAGCCCAGAAATAAACCCACATAAATATGGGCAAATAGTTTTGTACAAAGGAGCCAAACACAATACAATGGAGTAAAGGAAGCCTCCTCAATAAATGCTCCTGGGAAGATTAAAAAGCTGCATGCAGAAGGATGAAACTAGACTACTGTTTAATATACAAAAATTAATTAAAAATGGATCAAAGACATAAATAGAAGACCTGAAACAATAAATTACATAGAAGAAATTATAGGTATTAAACTTACAGACCTGGGTTGTAGAAAACATTTTATGATCTTGACCTGAAAGGCAAGGGAAGTAAAAGCAAAAATAAATGGATGGGACTATATCAAACTCAAAAGCTGCACAGCAAAGGAAACTGTCAATAGAACGAAGAGCTAGCCAACCAAATGGCAGAGGATATTTGCAAACAAAAGCTCCAATAAGGGGTCATTATCCAAAATATATTAAAAAAACTAATAAAAGTCAACACCAAACAATAAGTCCAATGAAAAAAATGGGCAGAGGACCTGAACAGACTATTCTCCCAAGAAGACATACAAACGGCCAACAAATGAAAAGATGTTCAACTTTAGTAGCTGCTAGGGAAATGCAAACCAAAACTACAGTGAGATACATCTTCACACCTGTTAGAATGGTCATTGTCTACAAGACAGCTAATAACAAGTGTTGACAAACTTTTGGAGAAAAAGGAACCCACATTCACTTTTGTTGGGAATGTAAACGGGTATAACCACTATGGAAAACAGCATGGAGGTTCCTCAAAAAATTAATAATAGAGTTACCATATGACCCAGGAACCCTGTTCCGGTCTCTACCTGAAAAACTTGAAAACCTGTGTTCGCAAACACACGTGCACCCCTGTGTTCAGTGCAGCATTACTCACAGTGACCAAAACATAGAGACAACCGAAGTGTCCTTCCATAGAGGACTGGATAAAGAAGATATAGTACATGTATAGCATGGAATGCTACTGAGCCCTAAGAAAAGATGAAATACTGCCATTTGTAACAGTATGAATGTACCTTGAGAACAACGTGCTAAGAGAAATAAGTCAGACAGAAAAGGTTAGGAGCCGTATGATTTCACTCCTATGTGGGATACAAGCTGAATGCAACAAGTGAACAAGCAAGAAAAACAAAAACTCATAGATACAGACAGCAGTGTGGTGGTGACCAGAGGGAAGGGGGTTGGGGGTAGTGACAGGTAAAGGGGTCAAATATACGGTGACAGAAGATGATGTGACTGTGATTGGATGAGCACACAGTGCAATATACAGATCATGTGTCACAGAAATGTACACCTGAAACCTATGTAGCCTTATTAACCTGTGTCACCCCAATACATTTAATAAAAAGAAAGAAAAGAAATTATTCATTCAGAAAATAACTTTGATATGTTGAGCTGGAGGCTTAAACATGTATGTTTTAAGCTATTTCGTTTTACAATAGTTGTCTATAGTCTGAGTGGCATAAAATGTTTATTACTCTTGTATGGATTACTTTAGTTTCATAAGCAGTGTTTTAAGATATGGAGGAGAAAAAAATCAACTCTAAAACATGTAATATTTAGACAGTGGATTGGCTTTAGAAAAGTAATTCTGCAGTATAATGTAAAATAGACACATGGTTTAAAGGCTTGTGAAGCACTTTTAGCACTTTCACAGAAAGGTACTACATAAATGAAACGTGAAAAATCTATCCCTTCAAGGCCCAGGATTTTCGTATATTGGCTTATGAAGAGCTCTGTGGAGGTTCATGAAGGAATCGTTGTCCTTATGACTTTCAGAGTCATTTTTCCTTGTGTTTCCATTTCAAAGCATGAGTATGTTCCCAGGACGGAAAGCCTGATAATGAATTGCTTGTTTGGTGTTTATTTACTTAGATCCTTTTACCTTTTTGGGCCCCGTTGCAGCCTTACATGTTACTCTTAGTGACATGAAGCATTTGCATGGTTCTTATTTATCTTAAAAAAAAATTGGATACGTTAGTACACTAATAGCATGTTTTGAACAAAGGCTACATTTACCTCAACGTTGACTTCGTTTTTATTACAAACTGTGAACATTGGAACTCTTTTTTATGATCTGCTGCGGATTTCAGTTGCAACAGATAGATCAGAGCTCAGGGTCTAAAGACCAAAGTTGGGTAGTTTTCAAATTTTAATGTGTTTAAGGATCGCCACATAAACTTTCAAAAAAAAATCACGCAGATTTTTGGGCTTCACCCCAGGGGAGTGAAATTGGATAATGTGCTTCCAGTAGGGCCGGGGCATTTGCAGTTTGGAGGAACAGAGCAAGTGAACCTGGCGGTGGCACTCTT